CAATATAGCCTACGTTCACTTTATTCGGCTCAGCTTTCGACCACACTACTGCGCTGTCTTATGACATCATTGTAACTGAACTTTCACCTTTCAGTAACATAAATCAGATTAATATCCAGAATATTTATCAAATGAAATTACAATGAAATTATAGTGATTTCCCTTACAGAATTCTAAACATATCCCTATTCTAGGAAATTATGAAATTATAAAATAATACTTCTAAGTCGCAACACCCTCCCCCACTAAAAAAAAAATGTGTCCAAACATTTTCTTTCCTATCTTCACAATATTAATCAACAATGTCTCCACAACAGAACACATGGTGGAAGGTAAGTAAACAGGTAAGTATTTTTGCACACATTATACATTAAAGGGTGATTATAACATATTGGGCCCTATCTTGCACCCGGCGCAAATTACTTTGTACACTGACGCATGTATCATTCCTATTTTGCACCCGCGCAAAGCGGGCTTTTCCCTCCACAGACGCACGTCGGTAAACTAGGAAATGAACTTGCGCTCCCTGGGCGGGTCGGCGCAAAAAGGAGGCGTGTTTCGGCGTAAACATTCCCTGGTGCTATTTTGCAGTTCCAGAAAACAATTCAGCCACTGACCAGAATAAACCTAGTCTAAAGTCAGTGGCGCGTTGTGCGTTGTTCATAATGCTATTTTAAGCGCGCATGCTTGGCCATAATGTAGCGGGTGCACAACGCACATACACTTTGATTCTCTCATCAACACAGATGCAGCAGTTTTTATTTTTGCAAATCATACATTATAACAAGGAAAAATATTAACACATGAGGGAAATCATTGTGGTGTCCATGAAGATGTAAAAAAATGTAGTTTTTTTCCTCCCACACCTGTTTAACCGACGCTGATTTGGGTTTCTCCCATCCCCATACAACGTCACTTCTCTGTCTTTCACTGCCCTGACAAGAATGTCGGTCTCCTCGGCTGTGAACCGCTCCTGGTGCGCGCCTGGTAAATCCGCCGTTATAATAGCAATCCGCCATGCAACATGCACACCTGCTCTTAAAGGGTATGTTGGATGACGCTCTGATTAGTTTATTTCACGTTACGCCCAAACCACACCTATGAATAATAAAGCTATTTCAGACCAACCCCTTTTAAACTTGCGTCGGGCACAAGAGTCATTTATCCCGCCGGTAAAATAGCAACAGCGCCCAAGACCCGCCCACAAAGTTACTTGCGCTTCGCGCTTGATACTTGCGTTTCAGATCGTTTAAATATGGCCCATAATCTCTCGGTATTCTTTTTTTCCTTTGGCAAGTCTCTCATGGCAATACAAGACTAAGTGTCCATAGTCCATTAGTATCAAAGGGTGAATAATCCATTGAAGTATTGGTGGGCCCCCCAATCTTCACAAAGGGACAAGGAAAATACCATATACACCCAAACTTATGTGTCTACATATTTCAAAGCCATGCATTTAGTAATCTATACCGTAAGTGTACACACAACTACTGTTCCTGTAAATACTGTTTGTATATTACATTACTGCCTTAATTCCAATATACTAGGATAATAACCAATTTTTGTACTTATTACTTAAATAACTGTCCAGGTTACCTGTTCTGTATTATGTGTTAGCTACTACCATGAACTATAACTTGTAATGGCTAAACATTAACTATAAACTAACGAATAAGATTATCTCTGTGTGTCTTTTATATCTATCCATGATAAGAAGGATACACAAATGATGATCTGGTAGAGGAATCTGCAGTTCCTGCGGACGTCTTCACACCAACCTGGCAGGTCTTCAGCTGTTGAAAGGTTGGCTGGCCTAGCTGGTCATAGGTGTAGACACGCCTGGGCTGCCTAGCTCTCCTTAGCCTGTTTCTCCACATCTCTGTATCACTTCGCTCATCCTCTGATTCAACAGCCGGAACTTCAATCTCCCTCTCCGAGCTATGTCTCTCCTCAATAGGCTCCTCTTCAGGCTGCAACTCCGGTACAAGTACCCTCTCAGGCCTGTCTCGGAGTGTCTCTGTTCTCGGACAGAACTCTTCTGCTTCTGCATTCAGAGGTATCTCAGCATGTCCCACTGCTGTCCAGAGACGATACTCCTCCTCACTGGAACTGTCTGTGTCTGTTCGGTAAGTATCATGTCTGGCTCTATGATCCTTTCTTGTTGTCCGTTTTGCTTTTCTTCTGTTGTTTTTCTCTTCAAGGTTGGGTTCATGACTTTCTGGCTCTTCAACCAGATAAGGGCATGGTAGAAGTAGGTTACGATATAACACCCGTCTTCTCCCTGTTCCTTGCAATTGTTCAATCACGTATACTGGACTATCAGGGCCTTTTCTTCCCCTGACAACATGAATCATGTCTTCCGAGTGGCTACGCAGCTTTCCAGTACTGCCTCTGGGCGTGAGGTTTCTCACCAGGACATGATCACCTGGCTCCAGAACAGAACTCCATGTGTGCTGATTGTAGTTTTTCTGTCCTCTCCTTGCACTTTTCTTCATGTTTTGCATCGCAATAGCATAGGCTTCTTGCATGACTTCTCTCCACTTCTCCGTATTGTTAGTCGGTGACTGGTTCCTACTTGAGGGTAGTATGGGGAGGTGCGTGAATGGCGAATACCGCAGTAGTCTTGTAGCTTGCGAAAGAGAGAATTTTCAACTCTTTTCCCTGATCGTGATATATCTTGGATGGGAAACCAAAACGCATAAAATAAAATCATCAAAGACTTTTCTGGCCGCGGGCTTTCCAGACTTGTCTTTCGTCGCGTAGGCCTGTTCCTTATTTGGTACAATGATCCACAACTACGTATAGTATATACTCCTCACCCCCTTTACACTTGTCTAAGTGTAGGTAGTCGATGGATATCATCTCAAACCATGCAGAGGTCTCAATGCTTTGGATAGGTGTCCTGATTATTCTGTTAGATTTTTTCCTTTTTATGCAGCGACATATCTGTGTAACATAGTGTTCCATTTCCTGTCTCATTTTTGGCCAGAAAAAACGTTGTCTTGCGAGTGTCCCATTTCCCCGTGGAGATGCTTGTACACAATAGGCTTCAGGAACTCAGGAACAACTAACTGCTTTCTCGCTGCAGTCTCTCTTCTGAGGATGCCATCTCCATCAATCTTTAGACGGGGCCACTGTCTGAGAAGTTGTCTCTCTGCTTCACTTTCTGCCAGCTTGTCTTTATGTTTCAAGAATCCATGTGTTTTTTTTCAAAGCCAGAGCTCTGCTAATGGCTAAGTCTGCACTCTGGGCAACTTTGATGTCTTCCACTGCAAGAGGCTGGATTGGCTCTGAGATGTTACACCCCTCTGGCAGTGCATCGATGTTACATGTGACAGCAGCGATACAATCAACATCTTGGGTTTTATCTCTCTCCAGAGCTTTTCCGATGCATTCGATAGTGTGGTGTTACAAATTTATTTAAATGTTTAATTTAGCTTCCAATACTATAGTATATCAACTGAGGAAGTTTATTAGTTTGAATTTTGTAACTAAGTTAAATTATGTCACAAACTTGCCTGTTCCTGTCTGTCCTGATCTCTCTATTGTAAGTTAAATTGATCAGAGCACTGAGACTATCATCTTTTGTTTTTATGCACTGCCTGGCCATTAAGCTCTATGATAATGTGAAGGTATGGGTGATACAATCAGGCTGATTGGATTACCATCTATACATGACACTGTTATGCTGATTGGATTATGATTGGTATCACTCTCAGTTTAGGGCAGGTTTCTAAACCTGTATACTTCATTTACATGCTTTGTTTCAGAGTGTCTCCACCTCTATGTAACCCCTCCCCTTTGTAAGGTATATGAACACAAGGTATTTTGGCTTAGGTCAGATTTGGGTAAGATTTTTGGACGAAGCAAACTTGGAAATACTACAGCGATGCAACAGCAATAAAGAACCCTGCTTAACCTGTTAAGCTTCAAGCCCACTTTTGAAAAATCCCCAGAAATTACATACCCAAACTGAAACAGATACAGTTCATGAACCCTTTGCACTAAACGCACAAGTATGATCTCATTTGAAAGCTGACGCCTGGTTGTTTATTGTAAATGTAGAATTAATTATTGTCATAATGAAAAAAAACAATTTTAAATAGCTTCAAAGTTTTGTAAAGTTATTAGAAATTTATTTTTATGAAACATCTTCATGAAAATAAAATTGAAGTTGGCCCTGGAGCAATCTAGAAATGCACTGCAGCTAAAGCCACATGTCTGACCATTTTATATTTAAAATCTGAAAATGATAAGTATAAAACTCTGTATTTAGTTAAATGTTTTTCAAGATCATGTCAAATTACTTTATTTTGATTAGACTCTATTAGCAAACTGATGTTTAGTCATCTTCTGAGTCATCTATTCAGTCTATTGTCTCTATTGTTTTGTGGTGCCCCATTCAGTGTCAGTCTCCCCTGCACACATTTACACCTCTCCAGACTGGTTATTATGGCTCTAAATATGCATTTCTTTTGTCTGCATTATAGCTACTAACGACTGGCTATTCACAGGCTATTCATAGGGTTTCAAACCCTAATTTCTTTTATCAAAGTTCTCACTAAATATTTGAAACTGGTATCAAATGCACTGAAACATTTCAGTAAGCATTCCTATTTAGAAAAAAATCATAAAACAATAACTGCTCGTGGCAGGTGCGCCTGGGCTCGCTAGCATGTTAGCTTAGCACACCATCAATACACGACCATTTATGAGATTAAAACCATGTTTGTGCTCCAAACTTACTATATAACGCAAGTCTAGTGTTTTAAATAATCTTCTGTGATCTAACTTGGCTTCAGATAAAAAAAAAATCCGACAGAAAATGTATTATTTAGTGTTCTGAACGATGATGAAATCTATATCGATTAGCATTACATTTTAAATATAATCTATTATTATTGTTGGAGAGGCTTTGGACTGTTAGGTTTGGATTAGGTGATGGATGAGTAAACCCTTCTGGGTGCCGGTAAGAGCACAAATAATGAGGAGACAGGTGATCAGATTAACTTGGTGTATTGTAGGTAGATGGATGGATCACAACTGTATATTCAATGATGTACATAGTCTGGAAAATAAGTACAATAAAGAGAATGAATAAACTAAATACAATAATAAGCATTCACTGTTAAATAATTAAATAATTATCCTCAATACTCATCATTGACATTTTTCTACTTAACATCCAGTTGAATAAACAGAAACATGGTATTAAACAGGAAAATACACACTATAAGGGCAATTTGTCCTCAATAACATACAATGCCCATATATGGGTAACCGCATGGCTCATATGCATTACATACAAACAGACATGACGCTGATCGTCTAGTATTGGAACATATTAACAGACCGACTAACATCCCCTCATTAATAACCCATAACATTGATATGGCGCTTAATAAAGAATGAATCGTCACACTCAAGTAATAGCCTATTACTAAATACTAGCATATTACCGATCTGGATAACACAGAACGATCTATACAGGACATGTCCGGACATGCACTTATGTCACGGACGCTTAACTCTATTCAGATCAAGTTACACAACTGAAAATCAACATAAATATAATCAAATTGACTTACTTTAAGGGCAATGACTAACATCATAATATTACAGTTGCACCAATCACCCCGAACGAACAGGAATCAGCAACTTTACAGCTGACAGCTCTCACAGATCACCTACACACAGCAGATAGCGGCAGTTGCACTGACGACTGTACACTGTTCTGCATGTTACCATGACTACGGTTTCAGAATAAAAGTCCCGACTAAATGCGGTTTCAGAATAAAAGTCCAGACTGAATGAGCCTTTAATACAGCCGCCCCCAAAGATGTGGAGCATCTTTGCTGCCATGAAAGGCGACTTCACTTATCAGGGGCTAGCAGCATCGGGACAATCCTTAGGTAAGGCTGGCAGGATGACTAGGCGGGCTACCGGTCTGGTGTAAACTTGGCCCTTTATCTGAACGTCCGCTGAACGGATATGACCATCCGGACTTAGGTGAGTCTTGATAACTTGTCCCACAGGCCATAAACCACGAGGTAATTGGGGGTCTACAACTAAAACAAATGTTTTCTCCTTCAAGTCAGGGGGAGAGGCTTGCCATTTCTGGCGAGTTTGAAGGCTGGGAAGATAGTCCCTAATGAACCTTGACCAGAATCGGTCCGCTAGGATCTGGGAATGTCGCCAGCGCCGGCGACTTAGCATCTCTGATTCTGGGTAAATGACTTGAGGCAGAGATCCATCCGGCCGCCCCATGAGGAAACTATTTGGCGTCACTGGGTCAGCATCTGCAATATCGGACGACACATAACCCAAGGGTTTTGAATTCAGGATGGCCTCCACTTCCAGCAAGACGGTCATCAACACTTCCTCGGGAACTGACTCTGAATCCAAAACTGTGTACAAGGCTGACTTAACAGATCTCACCTCCCGTTCCCAGACTCCACCGAAGTGGGGGGCCGATGGGGGATTGAAATGGAAATGGATCTTCTGGCGAGCAAGCTGATGCTATATATTAGGAACTAATGCGGCATAAGCTTCCCGTAACTCCCTTTCACCCCCGCGGAAGTTCGTACCTTGATCTGACCATAACTCAGCCGGTGTCCCTCTCCTCGAGACAAACCTTCTAAGAGCCATGAGGAAGGAGTCAGTACTCATGCTTGGAAGTAGGTCTAAATGGACTGCTCTCGTGGTCAAACATTTAAACAGAATACCCCAACGCTTCTCTGTACGTCTTCCGAGTCTGACCAGCAATGGTCCAAAACAGTCCATTCCACAAGAATGGAAGGCAGGCTTGTAGAGCCGAAGACGAGCAGAGGGTAAATCTGCCATCTTAGGGATTGTCGGTTGGGCCCTCCACCGTTGACATTCCGGACACTCATGTTGAAACCGTCGCACAGCTTCGCGGCCACGAAGAATCCAGTAATATCTCCGTAGTTCGGCAAACAGCCGTTCAGATCCAGAATGATGTAACTTCTGGTCATAATGATGTATGATCAAACGGGTGACTGGGTGATAAGGGTCCAAAACCAGAGGATGTAAAACAGAGTCCTCAATGCCTGCAACTCTCCTCAGACGACCTCCTACCCTGATAAGACCACTGGACGGATCCATTTCCGGGGCTAAGGTGATTAGACCACTTTTGGACCTGACTGACTTCCCACTCTCTAACAATTTATAGTCCTCAGGAAATGATTCCTGCTGCACCCGTCTGAGAATTTGGAGCTCAGCCTGATGGTAATCCTCAGCCTGGGGAGAAGTCCCAGGAGAAATGGTAGTTCGAAGTTCTTGGGCTGTCACGTCCAATAGTTCCTGCCAGGTATGGTAGTTCCACCCATCAGTATTGCCAGAAGAAGGAGGGCAGGTACTGATCCCACAGAAGGCCGATTTCCGCAGTTCAACCTTGTCTGCCATGGTCTCAGTCGTAGGTAATACTGGCCAATCCTTGGGATCCTGGAGGAGGAAGGAGGGTCCTTGAGACCATCGGTTGGATGCAGCGAGGTATTGAAGAGGTTTCCCTTTCGTGAGGTCATCAGCCGGATTGTCTGCAGAACTTACATAATGCCATGAACACTTATCCGTCAACTCCTGGATCTCAGCAATTCTGTTTCCGACAAAGACTCTGTATCGACAGGACTCCGAATTCAACCACTGAAGGACCGTGGTAGAGTCTGTCCACAGGGAAATAGACTTGATGGGTAGGGTCAACTCTTTCTCCAGTAACTTAGCCAACTGTGCTGCGACTAGACTTCCGCAGAGTTCCAGTCTTGGAATAGAGTGAGCTCGTCTAGGAGTGACACGCGAGCGTGCGATGATAAAGGACAGGTAGGTCCGACCTTCCTGGTCGGTAGTCCGGAGGTAAGCCACCGCTCCGTATGCCTGCTCAGAAGCATCCGAGAAGACATGTACCTCATGAGTAGCTATACTCATTTCAACTTCAGGAGGGAGATATGGCCGGGAAAACGTGATACCAGGGAGGTATTGGAGTTCCTCTTCCCAACTATTCCAAGACCGGAGGAGCTCAGGTGGTAAGTTGGGGTCATCCCACCCTCTCTGTTTGTTCCACAGTTGCTTAATGATCACTTTCGCTCGAGTCGTAAAAGGTAGAAGCCAGCCAAGAGGGTCGTATTGGGAAGCTAGGACCTTATAGATATTCCTCAATGTAAGAGTGTTATATACCACAGGTCGGTGCTTGTACGACAAAGTGTCCGTCTGCCAGTTCCAGCTCAGGCCTAGCGTTGATTCAGGGATATCTGACTTCTCCTGCGTCAACCACAGTTCCACACTCACAGCTCGGGCATTGGTTGGTAGGTGACTCACCACACCAGGAGCATTGCAGGCCCACTGGCGAATGTCAAATCCAGCTCCAGAGAGGATATTCCGTAGTCGATCAATCAAACTTCGCGCTGCTTCAACAGTAGGCAGGCTCTGCAGGCAATTATCGACATAGAAACATCTCTCCACCGAAAACCGAATCGTTTCATCAGTCTGAGGATGTTGCTGTACATGGCGTTGTAGTGCGTAGGTTGCACAGCATGGACTGGAGGTCGTGCCAAAGGGTAGTACCTGCCACTCAAGAATCCTAGGTGCCTCATCCATCTTCAGGTCCCGCCAAAGGAAGCGGAGTAGAGGACGATCCCCAGGTAAAAGGCGAACCTGGTGAAACATCGCCTTGATGTCCCCACTCACTGCCACAGGATGTTCTCTGAAGCGGATAAGAACACCCAATAGCGAGGCCCCAAGGGTGGGCCCTGGCAACAGGTACTGATTGAGGCTTTGTCCTTGATACTGATGGGAGCAGTTAAAGACAATGCGGCACTTTCCATTGTGACTAACAATGTGGTGAGGGATGTACCAGCATTCAGCCGAATCAGGTAAGGGGTCAGTCGCTTCCCGAACAGCTCCTGTCTCAACTAATTTCCTCATTTCCTCTTTATAGACCTCAGCTTTGGTGGGGTCCTTCAGCAGACGCCTCTCTACACTACGAAGGGTAGGTAGGACTGACTCCTTAGGTGCATTCAAACAAGGCATATCCTTACGCCGCAGTAAAGGCGTAGCTAACCGATTGATGCCCTCCACAGGGTGAGTGCGGGTTTCCATCTCAAGCAGCTGAAGAGCCTCATGATCTTGCTTGGACCGGGTTACATCTTTACTCTCCCACTGCGGACCCACATCCAACTGCCACAGGCGTTGAACATTCTGGAAGAGTTCGTCCTGAATTGGATCCATGGAGGTTAACAGGCATTGCCGTGCTGCATGAGGCCGCCCCATGAAAGGAATGGGGCCCTGGAGCGTCCATCCTAGGCGTGTATGAACTGCAGCTGGCGCACCCGGGCCGCCCCAATGAACAGGCTCTGTCGGAATTATGAGATGGGGCTGATCGGAACCGATGAGAAGTAAAGGCTGGACTTCATTAAGTGTACTGATTGGAAGACCCCGCAGATGCCTGTACTTCTGTCGTAGCTGTTCTACTGGGTAAGACTGGCGGGATAGGTTAAGACGATCTGCTGTGAAGGCATGATTGATCTTATAACTGGTTTGGGGTTTACAGATGGAAGAGATCCGAAAGGATATGGAAGAGCCATGAAGGACCTGAATATCGTCTCTCACCGTCCGCAAAGGCAGATCCTCAGGGACACCCTTGATGCCCAAGGCCTTAACTGCAGTGGAGAGCAGAATAGTCCTCTCCGAGCCATCGTCAAGAAGAGCGAAGGTGTCAAGGGTGCGATCTTCATAATGTAAATTTACAGGAACCACTTTGAGCATGACTCGACCTCCGACAGAGGGTTTATCCAGGAAGAGTCGATCCGGAGAGGAATTCGTCAGGCAGCTCTTTTCCACTTGAGCCGAATCCTCCCTCGGGGATAGACCAACATTCACCTCATGAAGAGGGCGGAGATGTGTGCCTTGGCATAGGTTGCAGGGTTTCTTAAGGTCACATTGAGCAGCATGGTGTGCCCTAGCGCATCGCCAGCAACGGTTGTTACTCCGAATCCATGTCCTGACCTGGTCAGAGTTAAGCTTACTGAAGGATGCACACTGGCTTAGATAATGCTCAGTCTGATCACAGAATGGACAATACCGTTTCACTTTAGAAGGTTTAGTTTGTGAAACGGGACCCTTGCGAGAGATGGGAGTCTCAACTGGGGGTTCTTTAACCCCATGCAGGATGGTCACAGTTCTCTTTCCAGAGTCTTGCTTAGCGTGAAAGACTTTAGACATCGGCTCGGCATCGTAGCTGTGGCACCATGTTTCGTAACGGAGCCAGTTCGAAAGGTCAACTAGATTAGGGGTCATGCCAGGTTGGTGGAACATATGGCGACGGAAGTCAGCACGCAGCTCAGGTGGAAGCTTACTAAGAAGTCGCGCAACATGGGACCCACAACTTAGCTCCAGTTCACCATCGCGTCCCAAGGTTCTCAGTAGTCCCACTAGTGACTGTACCTGGAGAGCGAACCTCTGGAAGGCAGATATATCACCTCGCTTGATGTCAGGACTCTCAAGAACAACAGCGATCCTCCTTAAGGCAAGTTGATGCGGTTGACCAAACTTCTCATGAAGTGCAGTCATTGTATCAGTGAATGGGGTAAGGGAGTTCAGATAAGCGTCCGCTATCATTCTAGCCTCCTCAAGCTTGAGATGATCCACTAAGATCTGGTATTTGAAAAGTTCTGTCCCGTCAGGAGGGAGCAGGTTCTCTAAAGCAATCCGGAGTCTGGCAAACTCACCAGGATCAGGCCGGCTAAACTTAGGAATGGTAGGGGTAGGTCCTCTGTACACATATTCAGACCTAGATACTGCAAGAGGTTGATTGGGTTCTACCTTCATCGCTAGATTTGGAGGAATCGAATAAGCAGGCATAGAGCTGAACCGTGAGGAGATAGGTACCGACGTGCGGTTGGCAGGTAAAGGCATGGCCGCAGGTGTTAGCAGCTCTTGAAGCTCTTTAGGAGTAGGAGGAGGGGGAAATCGCCAGACATCAGGAGCATAAGGTTTAGGAGGGCGTGACTGAGTAGCTGGGGATACAAAGGGATAATTTCTGGTCTCTGGCATCACAGGTAGGTGAATTGTGGCACCCGTATCAGACAAAGCAAGGGCATCCACCCGGGCTCTCAGCTCAACGTCAGGCTCAGGCCACGGGGGTGGGGGAAGCTCAGCGAAGTGTCCATCCTCCACTAAGTTTGTAGATTCAGCTGGCCTCAGGGGGCTGGATAACTGAGACGCTGTCAGCTGTGCTGGCGATAGGTTCTCTCCTCTAGCTTTACTGAGATCGACTCGAAGGGACTGAGCCACCTGTACTAATTCTCTAACTTCAGCACGGACTTCTCTCAACTCCCTTAAGTCAGCCTGGAAAGCCTGATGTGTCTGCATTAGTTGTGCATGCTCCTGGCGCAAATGCTGTCGCTCACGGTCATGTGCAGAGGTAGTGAAATCAGCTGCCGAAGGCGACGAGAAGGAACGCTGAGGACATACAACATGCTGTGGAGGCAGATAATTCGAGGACATGATCTGTGATCCACCAGAACATATCAGGTCACCATCAGGGGCAATGGCGTAGGTCTGGAAGGATGAGGGGGGAGTCCGTTGGGCAGGTGCCTCCCAGGTTTGTGGAACATCATGATCAGCGACAGGTCTGCCTCGTGTATAATGTACCTCATATTGCTGTAGGTAAGCTGGAGGACGAGTATGGCGCTTAGGGCGAGTTCCTCCAAGCATCTCCTCATCAGAGTCCATAACTTCAGAGGGGAATACTCAATCCGGCTCGAAGGACCAATTTGTTGGAGAGGCTTTGGACTGTTAGGTTTGGATTAGGTGATGGATGAGTAAACCCTTCTGGGTGCCGGTAAGAGCACAAATAATGAGGAGACAGGTGATCAGATTAACTTGGTGTATTGTAGGTAGATGGATGGATCACAACTGTATATTCAATGATGTACATAGTCTGGAAAATAAGTACAATAAAGAGAATGAATAAACTAAATACAATAATAAGCATTCACTGTTAAATAATTAAATAATTATCCTCAATACTCATCATTGACATTTTTCTACTTAACATCCAGTTGAATAAACAGAAACATGGTATTAAACAGGAAAATACACACTATAAGGGCAATTTGTCCTCAATAACATACAATGCCCATATATGGGTAACCGCATGGCTCATATGCATTACATACAAACAGACATGACGCTGATCGTCTAGTATTGGAACATATTAACAGACCGACTAACATCCCCTCATTAATAACCCATAACATTGATATGGCGCTTAATAAAGAATGAATCGTCACACTCAAGTAATAGCCTATTACTAAATACTAGCATATTACCGATCTGGATAACACAGAACGATCTATACAGGACATGTCCGGACATGCACTTATGTCACGGACGCTTAACTCTATTCAGATCAAGTTACACAACTGAAAATCAACATAAATATAATCAAATTGACTTACTTTAAGGGCAATGACTAACATCATAATATTACAGTTGCACCAATCACCCCGAACGAACAGGAATCAGCAACTTTACAGCTGACAGCTCTCACAGATCACCTACACACAGCAGATAGCGGCAGTTGCACTGACGACTGTACACTGTTCTGCATGTTACCATGACTACGGTTTCAGAATAAAAGTCCCGACTAAATGCGGTTTCAGAATAAAAGTCCCGACTGAATGAGCCTTTAATACAATTATGAAATACCTGGCATGGCTTGAAGAACACAGGTAACTCAAATATCATTGCAATCATGTTTATTGTCTTCAAAACATCTTTATCGGCATGTTACAGCGATCTCTGTCAGCTACTTTCTGTATCACTCAGTGACGTCCTGGAATGTCACATGACTATGGGTCTTCTTCATGATCCATATATGGACTTTTATTGGACATATAGCGCCCCCATGCTATTGGTATGAATGGAAAACACAGCACATCTCAGTAAGAAGCGAGCATAATGATACATCGACGCATTTGGGTATAAATTCAATAAATAGTATTCCTGTCTATAGAAATATGATGTGAATCTATGAGAATATATCAATATTTCTCCACATCTGCACATTGTTGAGCTAAAAGCCCTCAGGGACGTTGTTTTGTGAATCGCTGTCATGACGACAGCACGGAGTGTTTTTTATGAATGGACCAGCTGACGCTCATAATTCATATTAAAGGTATCGACTCATTTTTTTCATTTCATAACTCCTGACACAAATTAAGACATAACTGTCATTATAAGTTTCTCAGAATACAATAGTGGTCAAATACTGAATCTTGAGTCTTATATCTTTTTAATGATGTATAGTTTGTCAAGGTATAACATTAAATCTGATAGTATATTTGAACTAAATAAAAAAAAAAACGCTTCAGTGCGCCGACGCTCTGGAGAAGGTTAAGAGGTTAAAAGATACACCCAGTTTTCAAACACTTTAGAAGAAAAAAGTTCACAACAATAGCTTCCTGGGGGCATTTGTCAGAGTTTGTACAGAGGACCCAAAAGCAGAGGTAATGCAATAATAGAGTTTTATTCTCCGTAACTTGAAACAAGGAGACTGCCGTCAACAGACGCAGATCTGTGCAAAACATAAACAAAAATGCTGGGCAGCCAGATTGCAGGGACTGGGTGTCCAGCACCAGGAAGGAGGCGAGCAGCAACAGTTCACTCTCCCCGAGCCCAGTGGAAGAAACTCACAGAAGGCAGGTAGCTGATGATCCACTGACAGCAGGTGAACTGAGTAGAGAACAATGATGAATCTCCAACAAATAACTCACACACCGACAGGACAAGACAGGACACGGTAAATCTCGTAAGAGAGAATACTGGTAAGATTGCGAACGAAGAGACAGAGCGAACGCTCAACGTACAATAATAATCTGACAAGGAAGCAGAGAAAACAGTGACTAGAAGTAGCCGAGTGAATTAGAGGATAAGGGGAAACAGGTGAGACAAGGATCAGTGTAAGTGTTGATTACTATGGGGAACAGCTGCAAGTAGAGTGAGGGGAAAACCATGAATGGGAGAGACTAAGGGTGCTTTCACACCTGGATCGTTTGGAGACGTTGTTCCGAAACAAAGGGGCGTTTCCCTTTTGGCCCGGTTCGTTTGGTCATATGTGAACATAACAATCGCACTCTGAATCGGAACAAAACAACCGAGCCGAGACCGCCTAGAAGAGGTGGTCTCGGCTCGATTCCATACGAACCCTGGAGTGGTTAGTTTGTAGTGAGAACACAACCGACCCACGAACCGGAACAAATCAATAGGCAAGGTGGTCTCGTACCTTTATGTAACGTTACTGCTGTCGGAGTTTTTTTCGCCTTTGCGCGGCACTGCTCGACGGACCGTTCATAACCCCTCTCTTTCATTTTATAGCTGATCTTCTTGTACACTTCGGTGTTCTTGTGTGTAGTGTCCAACATCCGGGAGATATGTTCTTCCGACCAAATATCTATATGAGGCATTTCACCTCTTCGGTAGCACCAAGTCAACCCGCGATTCATTTTGTGTTAGGCTACTGTTGTCATGGTGATGTCCCACAAAGGAATGCGCGACCTCCACGCATGAGGTAGTGACGTAATGGCGTAAGGAAAGCCCTGGAAGGGCGCGCGATTTGGACCGCTTTACAACAGTGTGGTGTGAACAGAGTGACGTATTAAATTGATTCGGAACAAAGTATTCTGTTTCGGATCTGTTCCGGAACAAAACAAATCGATCCAGGTGTGAAAGCACCCTTAGTAACGATGAGGAAAACAGAGAGGAAAGAGACTGATTCATGACAGCATTCCTCTGTACACTCTCGCATGATCTCTTCAATGGGCGTTTGTCTTCGTGACAGGAAATCTGCGTCTCTGTTTGCTGTTCCAGGTCTGTACTTCAATGTGAATCTATAATCCGCCAGCTCTGCCACCCAGCGGTGTCCTGCTGCATTGAGCTTTGCTGACCTCGTGACATAGGTCAAGGGATTATTGTCACTATATACCACAAAGTCAGGTGCATGGAACAGGTAGTCACGAAAACGTTCTGTGATGGCCCATTTTAGTGCCAAGAATTCTAATTTGCCAGAAAGTAGCTTGTAATTATTTTCTGCCGGTGACAATGTCCGTGAGCCATAGGCAATGACCCTAAGAATACCCTCTTGACGCTGGTACAAAACTGCACCTAAACCCTCTTCTGCGGCATCCACGTGAAGTACAAAGTGTTTCTCCAAGTCCGGATATGCCATCACTGGTGGGTTTATCAGCTGAATCTCCCAGGCATCCCTCCATCTAGCACTGAAAAGCTGCAGGCGCATTAGTAAGCCCAAACGGTATCCTCACCCATTCATACAGTCCCCTTGGTGTTATGAATGCGGTGCAGGGTCTGCTTTTCTCACTCATGAGGTGACACTATTGCTGTCTCGTGTCTCAGGTCTCTGATCAAACGTAGACTTTGTCTGCGACGGGTAGATGGCATCAACACTGTGCAACCATCCAAGTGTCGTGCGACTATATAGCATGATGTCATTGTCAGTTAGGTTTTCAACGGTAACCTCTATTTTACCGTTATCTTCTGAAGGGAGCTGAATTAACTGCTCTCTGATGACTAAGCCTGTTGGCCATGGTGTCTCATGGTTTGGCTCCAACACTACATGTGACGCACTCAACACTCTCTTATTTAGCCGGCTGCATGGCACCGCTACCACTTTGTTTTTCGGGATGGTCACTGGTTGTCTACCTACTCTGGCCATGTGGGGTTGGTTCTCAAGCTTTCGTTTCTTTAAAACAGATAGGACAGCTCTCGCCGTCTTGCGCCCTACCTCCAGTGCTGAGCACAGCCTTTCCACCATGTGACCAGAAGGAGTACAGTCTCCACAGGTGTCGTTCGTCAATGCTAGTTCTTCAATCACATTAAAACCAATGATGGGGCGTTCAATGTCATTGCTGACAACCAGGATTGGGACCACGACAGGATTGTCACTTATCCCAGCCACAGCATTCTTAGACAAGGTGAATTTGATTTCCATCCATCCATCATATGGAATGTCTGTTCCATTTGCAGCTGAAAGCTCCAATGCTCCCTCCTCAAGCAGCTCCTCCACTGGTCTCACCTTAACATCTGGCAGGTATTTTCTTTTCCAGTTCGTTCCCACTATTGATACGTGTGACCCGGTGTCTCACAGTATTGAAGTGTCAACTCCCCCTAGGGAGGCTCGAACTAGGCATCTTTTCCCTACTAGCTTGGCTGTTTGTCGCTGTTTACCGGTGAGTGGTGCTCTTAAGCTGAACAGATCCACATTGTCTGTGTTTTCGGCAGGATGAATCAGAATTTCAATTTTGTTTGTACTGGCTGCGGTAATTCTCATTCTACAACCTGATGCCCAGTGTTCTGCGCTGCCATAACAGTGACTACACCTTCCATCCGGATTGGACAATTGACACTGCTGACACTGTTTCCTATTTACAGTCTTTGGCTGCTGCTGATATTTTCAGATCGGCGGTTCACTCACTCTCATTGGTTGGGGCTTAGAGGTCTGGTGGATAATAGCAATTTGAGTGGTGAGGTTCTCAATAGCTTCACATATAACTTTATTACCTTGATCAACTTTTTCCATCAGTGTACCACGTCTGTTTGTCTCACAGTGTTTATTCTTATTGTTTGGTTTGTTCACGTAGCTTTCCTTTCCACATTCCTCACTTTCCTCACTAACCGCTGCAATTTTGATCATCTTTGCTTTTGATGTAGTTGACAACTTATTCTTTCTTTCCATTTCCAGAGTGTATGCAGCTGTCATTTTCTCCAAAAGGACTTCATCTTCAACTATCGGATTCTGCAAGTATGGCTTTATGTCTTCACGGATGGCGTCATCATGGAGGCCAGTGAGTGCTGTTTGGAGGAATTGATTTTGGATTAGCTCTGCGCTGTACTTCAAACCAGATTTAACTCTTTCTGAAGCAAAGACAATTTGTTGTCTCAGATCCATGGCTCACACTAAAAACTGAATGGGTGTTTCTTTTAAATCTTGAACAGCACGCGTGAGGGAGTGTCACAAGTCTGTAGCATCCTTCTCATGTAATGAGTCCGTGATATCTGTCTGAGAGCTTGCAATGACAGATAAACTTTACTTTCAAGATAACTCTTCAGTTTAGTTCCTGGAGCTATAGCTTGAATGACAGCTTCTACGACTTCTCCCTCATCATATCCTTTTTTCAGTGCTCTTTGGATTTGTCTTTCCAAACTAGTGTATGCTAATTTATCCTTTTGATTTGGTTCTCCAATTTGTCCAATTATTTTGAACTCTCTTCTGTACAGTGGATGGACAAAAGAAACATTTTGGGAAGCTGCTCCTGTTGCATTCGGGACAGAAACATTTTCTCCTTGTTCATTTGGATTACTGGGTGTGACATCATTTTCAACCACCGGCGCTCTCGCTCTTGCTCAATTTTCCCTTTGATTTCCTCAATTTTGTCATTTACTTGCAGCAATAGAGACATCCCTTCATCCTCTTGTGAAATAACATCTTCCCCTTCTATATACTGGAGAATATCCCTCCTCAGCTTACGAGGTAAGTCTTTGTCACTTTTTTCCACTGTTAGACTGAGTGCCCAACATATATGACTCAACTCTGGTGCTGTCAGTGTCAGTAACTTTTCTTCTATCTCAGCTACAAGAGTTTCCCACTCAGACGACCTCTGTTGCACTTCTGA